CCTAGACAGCATTCACCTGGCTGAAGATGAGGGGTAGAACAGAAGGTGGCACTGACCAAACCTGGGTAAAGCTCTGCCTTCAGGGGAAAAGTTTTGTTACTGCTTTTCAACATTGCTAGTGAAGAGAGAGCTCAAGAGGCACACACAGAGACCTCCAGTCTGTCAGGGCAGGGGGAGCTGGTTTGAGCTGCCTGGGTCCCCAGCTACCCTCACACCACCTTGTGTAGCAGATCCCTGGAGAACAGGACACACCCTGCAGGCTGCACGGGTGCACACAGGTTGTCCTGCCTCAGAGGGGAGGAAAACTACACAAGCTACAGCAAGACACCTCTGCGACAAGACTAGGATCCTAAATACACCTCAAGTTTGGCTGGTTTTGCATAGATAAAATAAAAAGCAATTATCAATGAAATGCTGGAAAACGCTGTGCAATACTTAAATACAACTTCCTAGCTTATGCAGTTCCAGGGGACTAATCTTCATGGTGGATCCTACAAAGGAACAGGTAGGAAGAATCAAGAAGCAGACACTGTAACAACTGTGACCATTCAATTTGAGAACCTGATAAAAAAAAGTAAATGCTGTAAAAAACCTAAACCCTTACAGAGGAATGTACTTAGACTGTTTGAGGCCAGCCATACCCACTTCTCCAGGATTTCATGGTGTGCATGTTCAGAGAGCTTCACAAAACAATTCTGACATCTAGTAAGTTGCTCTGGAAAACAGCTTCCATGTCACTGTCAGAGCCAGTGCTCCTGCAGCAGCTGCTCATCAGGAGTTCACTGTTCTAGTACAGAACTGGTTTCAGGGGTCAGCAGGAAATTCATTTTCTTAAAGTCAAGCCTCTATGGTGGAGGCCACTCCACCTGAATCAGAGCAGCAAGTATTTCATTCCTAAATAAAAACCAGGGAAAAGATACTTCATGTTGCCACATGAATTAGTGATTTAACCAACAGGTCCTTCATTCACGTTTCATCATGAATTAAAAAAAAAAAAGAAACCACACACTGAAAAGCTATAATACTGCAAGGCAACCCCTCACTACAGAACCCTCCAGACAGCTGCAGATCTTGGCTCTAAAACAGTTCCCAGGAAAATGGGAGAAAGAGGAGGAGGGGAAAAAAAATCCATAAAAGATTTACTAGATTTAGACCTGAACTAATTTACCAACAAGAGAGATCCTATATGATTTCAAAGGCCCATTCCTGCCATCACACCACACATTACCAGTCAGTTTGGTCAGGCTGGGAGACAGCTGGGGACAGGAACTTAAAAAGCAACTTAAGACAACTACAATGAGTTTAAGTTACCCTTACAGTCAACCTACAAAGCTAAGTGTTCAGGCACACCATTTGTCTACTTCTACGTTGTCTTGTTCCAAGTTGTTCTACAAGTTATTCAATGAGCCCAGACTATGGCTTTTCTGTACTTCCCCTGCTCCGTGTACCATCTTTAACAGTGACACACGTGGTCAGATTTTACTTCAAGATTGGTTTCCAAAGATCAAAAATCTTCCTTCTGTTTTTCCACAATGAGTTCAACACATGGGAACAAAACACCCATCATCTTGTATGCTTAAAGCCTTGTGCTACCATCCCAGAAAGGGGTCCAAGTCATTCAGATACACAGCATAGCTGAAACTCCCCTTCCACTAGTGTGTATCTGTTGTTACACAGGCACAGAACAAGTTATTTCCCCTCTCAGCATTCTTTCCCCAAGACACACACACATTAGCGTGCTCAGAGAGCCTACAGTGCCTTCCCAAGTGCCACGTGGAGCTCCTGGTCTGTGGGGAGACAACCAACAACACACCATGCAACTAGACACTCCCAAACACGCCAGTTACACGCTGGCTGGTCGCTCCTGAGCATCTGCTCCATGGCATCCAGCACTCTGCACACTCCTTGCCTTTACTTGACTCCCCTGTGTAAGGCATCTGAGTTACCTCACACCTGTTTTAGGGTCAGGCAGAGAAACTGGACAGTTACCATGAAAACAGGCCTTGCCTTGCCTTACACAGGGGAGTCAAGTAATCTGAGTTACCTCACACCTGTTTTAGGGTCAGGCAGAGAAACTGGACAGTTACCACGAAAACAATGAAAACAGGAAACTTACTCAAACGATTACGCTCCATGGAAACAAAATGCTCTTCTGATCTGAACAGGTAACAGGTCCTGAGGCAAACAACTGAGACTGCAGGGGATTCCTGACTATCTATTACAAGGCAAACTGGTATAAAGCAATGCTTCCATTGCCCAGAAAATGATAGCACAAGTAGCTATGCTTAAAAAACAAAATACTCCATAACAGTTTAACATATTTCACTAGAAGACTTAAAACCTGTATACAGTAAAAGCAGTGTACAGATACTTTACAGAGGCAGTATGAAGCCTAAATATTTCTGACTTGTTACAGGGCTATAAATAAATTAAACACTACTTAAATGCAGCCACTGCTCTCATGAGAAGCAGCAGTAATAACAAGTAGCTACCACAAATGTTTATTTTAGGGTAGAAAGACACTGTAGACAATCAGAATAGTAAAGGAAATGTCAATAGAATTATCAAGCCAGGAGGACTTCAACTGCACAGTATTCTCTCTGTGGTCCAAATATTTGACCCATACAATACTTTTCCACAGTGTTTTATTCCTGCCATTTCTAAAACTGCTGCTGTACTCCTTACAAGTGCTAGAATTAAGGACTGGATGAGGGATGAAACTACATCCAAATATTTTTAAATGTTGTAAGAGAAAGACAAATTTAAACCCGCTGTGTTCTAAACTTTATGGGTTTTAATCACATAACCTTCCCACTTTAAAGACAGTAAGTTCATAACTCTAGGAGTCTCTCCATGGTGCAGAGCTGAATGTCAAGGGACTCTTGCTCTCCTACTAAATATTACTGTCCAGTCTGGGATGTGTACGGAATTTCTATCAATAACAACAACAGAGTCTGGCCTTAGCAAGAAGAATCCCAGTGGGACTGACTAGAGTATTGGTAACCAGCGTACGTCACCACGGGCAGGACTGCTCGGAGAGGCTCCAGTAGTGCTGTGCCAACGAGGGTAGCAGTCTGGGAGCCAGGCAAGAGGTCAAGCAGGCCCCACCAGCACGAATGCAAATGGCTTTAGTCGTGGTAGGTCCTTTGTAGGCAGCGTAAGGGGCATGCTGGCCTCCAAAAGCAGCTAAATCCTGTTTCCAACCTGTGAGCGTCTGTGCGCCATCTGTGCCCCGCGGAGCGCGGCAGCTGCGCTCCTGCACCGGGAGCTCGGTCCCAGCCCCTCCGAGGGGCACGGGGAGGCTGCGGGGCTCCCTCGGCCAGCACACACCCAAACTGTCACACTGTACAGCTCTTCCTCCACGGTTTGAACACGAGGAAGCCCTCTTTCAAGCTTCCCAATCTGCTCGCTTGTGCAACTGAAAATTGTTAGAAGATAGATGTTCTCATTTCTTGGCCCCAAAACTCCCCAGCAATCCTCTTCATCCACGTAATGGGAAAGAGGGCGAGGGGACTAACAGATGCATCATTCCTTGAATTCCCATCTGCACACGAAACCCAGCCAAATCCTTTTGTTCAACTTGCTGAGAGAAAACTGACAAAAATCATCAAGATACTCAGGCAAACAACAAACTCACAATCACAGGAATCAAAGATCATCAAAACTAAGCATACGATTTTTGTAACCCTCAAGGAGCACGAACCCTTCTGCACAAAAGGGGAGAACAGGACACGCTGCTCACTGGATGAAGATCTCTATTTGCTAGTCACCTATTAGCACCAAAATACTTACACAAAATCTCAAGTCAGTTTTATTACTAACCGTAAAATAAGCATCTATCTTGCCCAAAAAAATGACACAAGATTTTTAAGATGTAGAGAAAAATGTCCATACATTAAATTTATTTTTATTAAAAACTGATTGTTCAGCCACCTGTGACTCCTTCCTGATACACAGCTATCTCTCAACAGTAGTTATGACTGTAAAATTCTTAGCACTGGACAAATCCGTGTGAAACAGATATTGCTGCCTGTGAAATAAGACACAGTAATGCTATGTGATTATCGAGACGACCAGGGTCCCAGGAACAGCCTGTCCCCACAACACACTGCCAGCTGACCCAGGAACACTGACAACGCTATCAGGTAACTGTCAAGCTTGCCAAAAAGAAATTAAGTCACAGGACAGTCTACATAGGTAAAAAATATAGTACCACATTTCCATAAAATCGAACCTATACTGGGCATAGCTACGTAGAGGATTCTTCACTGTGGCAAAGGAAGGCAGGCAGGCAAAATAATGAGCTGCAGAAGACTAGAATTCTGCAATGAAATTAAGGAAAAAACCTGACCAGGAAACACAAACTATCCAAAGATTAAGTTAAGAAGTACTTCCCAAAATCATTCACAAGTCTGCTGGATACTGCAATACACCCTTTTGTCCTCTGAAAAGGCATTCCTCAGTTTCTAAGAGTTTACTGATACTCTCACAAAGACAATTTATAGATAAAACAGACTTGACTTTCATCCCTTTATTAATTCTATGCTAAGTCTTGAAATAAAACAAATTGACCACAAAAGAAAGACCAAAATAATTTGTATGCTATGCAGCAAAATTCATTCACTATCACCTAGTGAAAAATTACAGCCCTATCATTTCAGTAAGAAAAAGGCCAAGGTGCTGCCCATCTTGCAGACACATGCTGCTTTGTGCATTTTCATCTGCAACACAAACGAAGCACCGTCCTTGTCAGACTGGCACTGAGAACCCTGCATGGTGTAGGGCAGGTCCTTCATTCACCAATGACACTATCTGCAGCTCTACTCCAAAAATTAAACTCATATAACATTACAAACGCTTCCAAGAGGCCCAGACATTCAGACAGCCATACAATCGAGGCAAGTGAGTAAATCCCTCTAAACCACCTTTTGGCAAAACAGGGTGTAAGACAGCTCTGGTGGCCTGTGGGGCCTCCCTTCCCCAAGCTGGGCACAGCTTACCCAGGGCCCGGGCGACTGCCAGGAAGGGGATCTGGTCGATGACGGTGCTGCGGCGCACGGGCCCGTTGTGGGTCAGCCGAGGCCTCTTCCAGACGACACGATTCACACCAGACTTGTTGATCACACTAAAAACAGCAGAAAGAGGCAGGGTTAAAAAGGAATGCAAATGAAAGCATGAAAGTTTGTTTCAATGACACAAAACTAAATATGCAAACGTGGCATCAATAAGGACAACATCCTCACAGAAGTCCACAGCACAATTAGGTATTTCACACACGCGGTATCGCTTAGTTTCATTCCATATTAAGCCAAACGGGAAAAGTTAGAGATGAAGGGCAGAAGAAAAGAAAAAGCAAAGGAATGAAGACCTGGAAGAAATTCTGGCTAGCTACAACCACCAGATGTAAGAGTATCTTTTCAATCTGTCAGAGAAAAAGCAGAACTGAAGTTGCTTTCCTCAGATGAAGACCATCAATATCAGCTCACTTGGGTGGAAATATGTATTTCTTCCTTCAGCTTCCTCCATCTGCTAATGTTTGGCAGGAAAGAGCAGCACAGTACGGTTGAGAAAAACCAAAGGAGAAAGGAGCAGCTTTCTGTAGGGGATTTTCTTAACAGTGGAACAACGTGAGGCAGAAATGGAAGAGGAATTGTTCATTGTTGCTACCTGCAGAAAGCAGGAGATAGGAAGAAACAGCTCTGCCTTTGAAGGTTTGCCCCTGCTCTAAGGCACTGAGCAGTGGTTTTAGTCACAGATGGCATTAGAAGGGCCAAAGAAGCTGCACAGCAAGTAAACTGGGCAACTGTTATTGGGCTAGAGATGCAGGGAAGAAAGAAGAACAGAGAGAGTATGAGCCAGCAAGGAAGCAGCAGTAATGGAACAAGGAACTAGCAGAGCTTGGTCCCATCCAAGTTAAGAACCAGACACTTAAAAGCTAGCTTTTACCCAAGAACAGCCATTGGCAATTATAAACTGAGAAGCTCTGGAACAGCCTCAAGATTCCTCATACTGAAGCTATTCAAGATGCACTTCCTGAGACTTCAAAGGCCTTAACAACAAGGGCATGTTCAGCTCCATCCTTTCACATGCAGTGCAGCGAAGTCACAACCACCACATACTAAAAACAGATCCCATCCACGTGTACAGCTAATGACCACACAAAGCTAACTTTGGTCATCATCTGAAAGTAGACCTCATCCCACACTTGGAGAATAGGAAAATGCTTAATGAAAGACTCAATTACTCTCTCCCATTAACTCTTCCCCATTTGCTCTCCTGAAAGAGAAGACATGGATAAGCATGGCTACACAGTTCCACCTCACTCCTACTATTTTCCTTACAATAGCTGGAAAAAACAGAAGAAGCACCAGTAAAAATAATGATTTAAAAAAAAAAATAAAGTCTAACCATGCCTGTTGATACAAAGTTGCTGGGAATGCTTCTTTGAAGCTTCAGAGACTTCAAATCTCTGAGATACACAACTTGAAAACCTCTACAAGTTAGATTTACAGATACTAACCCAGCAAAATTGTAAGTTACCCTTTCAGAAGGGCTACCCATAGAAGTGTAACTGATCCAACTTCCACCTGCTAGAGACACAATTGTCTGCAGGTTAATGAGCTGACAGGGTTCTCATATGAATGATGTCAACAGGAAAACCTTCAGTGATCTCTGCCTCTGAACTGCTAAGACAAGGAAACCGTGCCCGTCCATCTGGTGCGGTGTCAGGGAAGGGAAGAGCAGAGAGCTCCTGTGAAGCCACACCAACTGTGAGCCCCAAGGTTTGTCTCAAAGCATTAGTGCCACCTGAGAAACCTGCCTTCCTCCTCACTCACAGGGAACACACAACAACCACAGCTCAGAAATGTTCTAACATCTGCCAGCTCCTGACAGAGAAAAAATTACTAACCTAAGGATGTGCATTGCAACATGGTATTCTAACATTTTAAGTGTACACAAAGCAAATAAAGTACTGTGTTCCCAATCTAAGACATTTTTTGTTGTTCCTCAAACAGAAGCTTTGAAGAGCCTACTCAACACCTGCCATTGTCACCTCAGGAACAATGCAGGGTGTATGAAAAACTCCAAAGTATTTTGGTGTCAAAATTGCTGCTTCCCCTCCACTTGACAAACTGGATTTCCAGAGCTCTTATTATCTATATGGAAAAGACATTTCCCCTAACTTCCTCAGAATTTCATGAAAAATAGGTTGAATACCAGAATCTCCACTTTCAAAGTTCTCAGTGAACACTGTAATCATGCCTTACCTGCATGGGAATCCACCACATAATTAAAATTTTGCTTATAAACCACTAGCAAAAAGCACAACGGTAGAACAATGGATCACTACAATTTATTCAAGCTAGGGGAAAAAAAAAAAAAAAGAGCAGAGATAGGAAAGGAACAAACAAAACACGAGGTTCCCCAGCTTGCTTCCTGTCAAAACAAGCAAGCTTAAGCCCAGTTCAGTCAGAATGACGCAAATGGCACCCAGAGACCAAAACTGAAGGAAAAAGCACAGAGTAAAAAGCACTACCTGCCCCCGAGGCCTTCAATTCTCTCCCTTTCTTTGGGAAGTTCTGGCTTGTGGTCCTGGGTCACCTCCACAGCTCTGACAAAGTCATCCTTGGGGTCATCCTGGACACCCAGCACCACTCCCGAGTCACCCACGTGAGCCACGTACATCCTCGACCCGCGGATGATCACCACGCTGGCGGTAGTTCCCGACGTGCTCGGCAGACCCGTCATGGTCTTTGGCCACTCGGCTGCAACGAGAGAAAAAAGCACATAAAAAGGTCTTTGTTTTTAATTTTGTGGAACTGGTCATGTTTTGAAGATCAAGCTGCAGGGTGTGTCACGGAGGCTTGCGTAACGCTTCAGTACTGACTGCTCTCAACTGTGTAACAGCCAGGCAAAGCGGTGTCCTCGGGTCCCCCTCAGCTTTCAGAACATCCCTCCCCTATGTGCACCTTAAACTGACACACATATATAAGGTCAGTATCAAAGCACTGAGATAGGATTCCAAAAACGGCCTGCTCCAGCTCAATATTCCAAGTATCACTAGAAGAATGAGGAAGATGCTCCTTGAGTGCAGAACAGGATTGATCAAGAGTTTTGTTTAAGATCTACCATTCGCTTTCGTGTCTGAAGAGGTAAAAACAGCATAAATTGGGTCATTGTGTCTGGACGTGTGACTGGTCCAGACATTCCTGACCCCCTCGGAAGGAAAGAAAAAGCTATTTCACTTTTATATGCTAAACATTAAGTTGAATAACTTCTCAACAGCTCTACTGACATTTCCTTTTGGAGGGCTGAGTAATGCAGACTATTTAACTATGGTAACCATAACCCAACACGAAATCTTCTGCAGAAGATATCCCTTGAATTCAGAACAACCAAACACCTATGCCAGCATGAACTACCTACAGTTAAGGAAATCATCTTCTTTCCTAACTGCTTTGCTTTCAAAAAAGGCAGGTGTTAATTTCCTGTTACACTACTCTCCCTATTTACATCCAATCCAAATTTCTCTTTCATGCCTTGTCTATTTCTGTACCTACACACCCAAGATCATCTTCCAAATCTCCATGAAATGACAGAGACAACATCTTAGTTATGGCAGATTAGCCATACCAGTCCTTGGCCCTACTTCAGTACTCTCAGAAAACAGAATTCTAGTTCCCAGTTATCAGTTATTTCAACTGTCAACAGCAACCTCATGTTTCTTCTTCACTGCACCCACTCACATCTTCAGACAAACTCAGATGGGAGACTCATCTCCTTGTCACATTCTATCTTCTGCACTTCACAAGTCATGCTCACACCAGAGAATGTAAAAATTCCACTGTGATACACTCTGCTTACAGGAGGTACCCAAGCCAGACTGCCAAAATATTACTTATTTTCCCATGGCAAAACAAACACACAAGAAAAACAAAACACAATTGGGCCTTCCTCTCTACAAAATTAGGTAGTTTAAACAAGAAGATTAGGAACTTCAGTTCTAGTACCACTGAACAAAGGCAAGAAGGAGAAGCCTAGGAAGGAGTGCTGAAGAAGAAGCAGACTTTATATAGATATTCTGACAATAAAAGCTGCATTTCCTCAGTGTTAGCTACCAAGACATGCAGTATAATTTAAACATTTAAGTCCTAACAGAGAGTTCTAGCTTTGCATTCTAAATACTAAAATGAACTTTCTCTCTAGGAGCTTTAATTTCAAGTCAGATTATTGGAAGCACTTTGCCAATTTTAACTGCAGATATTAAATCTAACACATTCCAAATGGAAAGCAATGGAGGGAGGAAGCCCAGTGGTAATGAGGACTTCAACTGTGCACTTAACAGAAAACAAACTGCAACTAATGAGTTTCTGTCAGTGTAACCCCTCAATAGCAATAAAATAAAAATTATTTTTTTAAAATCGAGTCAAATCAGTCTTGATGGGAATGAAGAGCACAGAGAGTGAACTCACCCGCTGAGCAGAAAAAGAATTGCAACAGCCTCAGCTTCTAGGCTCCACCAGAACCAGAAATTAGACCTGCCTCTCATCAAGGCATTTTGGTTTATGCCTTGCTCCTGTTCAGAAACATTATATATAGCAAAGCATATTGCTTTCTTTAGAGATTGTCTCATCAGAAACTAGCAGAAGTGTCAAAACTCCAGTTTTCTTCTAAGCTTGAGTATTGAAATGGAAGTCACTTACCCAATCCTCCACACATCAGGAGCACATTTTTATCAGTCCTGTAACATAAGCCCAAAACCAAGCGTACACTGAATTCTCCTCCAACGTACTATCATGACCCAGAAACTCTCACCAAGTGCTATTTTTAAAGACTATTCTTGTTACCTTGCTCTTTTTCTGGTGTTTAGATGCAAAATACAAGACAAAATACTATTTTTACTTTAAAAAAAAGCCCTATAATTCCTTTATAGGATTCTGAAATAGTCAAAATTATCAGGTATCATCAAAAGGCATTTCTGATTTTTCTGAGTATCAAAAAATCAGTAAAGAATGTATTTCATTATTTCCCTGGTTTTATGTACATTAAGTCCAACTACAGTGCCTCATTTCAATCTGATTTGATTCTAAAACTCTTAGGAATTTTTTTTTTTTTAAAGCTATATGAACTCTTAATGCAGCAACAGCCCACAAAAATTTCACGTTATCCTGAAAAACCTGCACTGCCTCAATTGGTCTGGGTCCTTTTCAGGTAAAAATACATACATAAACTGTTAAACATCTCAAAACTAATTTTGCAGGGAAAATTACAAAACCCCCTGTTATTGCACAAGAGATTAAAATACTTTATTTTTATTGCTTCAATTAAATTTAATGGGCAGAATTACAGCAGAATTATAGAACTCTTTCTAAATTCTAACTAGTAATGCTCAAAGATGTTTTTAATAGTATCAAGCTAAAAACATTTTTAAAAAAAGCTCTTGACTATACAAATAATGAATTACCAAAGAAACATAACCCTATGCAATCCTCAGTAAAGTCACAGCAAAATGTGGGACCTCCTGAGTATCCTTTTTGGAAACACCTTTCCCACCACTGCCAGTTGTACTAACAGGTTTCAGATAAGAACTTTTATTCCAGAAATTACTCTGACATACATTTTATTACTATGTAATCAACACTAAAATTATCATCAATGACAGGAGTATTTTTCTGTTTAGATTTTTCTGGTACTCTCATCAATATATCTCCTGTTTACCATAGCAGATGGCCACTGGGACAACCCCACAGCTTCCAAGAACTAACAGAGCAGCCAAGTACAAGCTTCTCTTCCCATGGCCATCAACTGGAAACAACAAAGACTCCATCCTTTACCTCAAAAACCCAAACCATTCTTCTGCCCCCACTTTAAGATACCAAAACACCCAGTGTCTCAAATGTCACCAACACAGTGAAAGATCTGCCCTACACACGAGATGGAAAATTACTTTGTGCAAGTAAAATCTGCACTGGAATTGTGTAACATCATACAAGGAGTTATAAACTAGATACAAGAAAACTTTGGCCTCATAAAACTGTTATGCACAAGCAGCAGAAGTCACTAAGAGCAAACATGCTAGGTAGATATTCAGTACATACCCTACCTGAAACTGTCATCAAATGCTCATAGCCAAAGCTATGTTGTTTCTCACAACCATTTAAATTGGTTCCATAACCCAAGTACTATTTGCTAAACACTCATTACTAAAACAGCACTTCCTGCATTCTGTCACATCTCTCCACCTCTCTGCATTTTGTGTTCACAGTTGCAGTGACAAAGAACAGATCAGGGATACTACAGCTCCAAAACTAAACTCTTTATCTTTCTCCCCCATGCCATTCACACACCTACCTCCTTATCACACACGCCTGCAGCCCAGGACCTCACGTGACACTCGCCACCAATTCCTGAGCATCAAGATTGTGGTCAAGTTCTAGTGCTTCTGAAATTCACGCCCTCTCATTGCAGTCTAACATCAGTGTTTCCTCAACCTTGCTATTCCTCCCCCTGCATGTTTTCAACTGCATGGGTACAACTTCTCTATTTTGCTATTCAAGAAAAAGGAAAAAGAAAACGAAACTGGTTTTACACCATAAACCCGCCCCCCCATGAATTGCTTCACTGAAGCCCCACAGTGCGTTAAGTGCAATTTGTGCTTTTTATGGTTTATGTTTTATGCAGACAAGCCCGACTGCCAGTATCACTGTTGTTTTGATCTGATTTACTGTGTTCCACTCCTGCCTGCTTTCATATGCTGTTCACTTCTCTTCTATCTTCTCTTTCTACTGAATACATAAATGCATCCCCAATACACATGCTCTACGCATCTATAAACACCCACCATGGTCTAAGCCATAGCCCCCCCCCCAAAAAAAAATCCCTTTCAGAAACTGAATTCTGCAGCCTCACCAGATCCCAGGGGGAGGGCCGAGGACCAGAACAACTCCTGTCATCCCCCTTGTCGCTCTCCTCTCCTTTACCATTACCTATTTCAGACCCCAACTGCTCTGTCCGACTCCAGTTCAGCAAACAATCTACACCATCTGCAGGACATGGAGTGCGTTTTCCTTTTTTATCAGGTACACCACATACTCCCCGATGCCCAAACAATGAAATGAGCGAATGATTACCCTTTATGAGACAGGCACATTTGGAGTCCTTCCATCAGGACTTGACACAAACAGTTGGCATTAAGACACAGTCAGGGAGAAAAAAAAAAAAACACTGTCCCAATTATTTTTTTTCCTTTTCATGATACACTGGAGAAGGAAAATCTAAGGGACAGTTCTGCGAAACCCCTCAAGGTAACAAGACGAAGACCTCCTAACAAACCGAATTTGGAGATCCAACTTGCGACAACCTGAAAACAAACCTCAGCTCTACAACCACACCATCTTCAGCTACATAACACAACCGCCCTACGACTTCTCACCCTCCGATTCTCTCTTTCCTCCCAGCCTGCTCTCTAGTTTTTCTCGTTTTACCGAATTACTCGACATCCGAAGCCGCATCCCGCTGCC